AGTGCCAATGACAGTGAAGTATGGCCTTATCGAAAGGAGAATTCATAAGAGGCTGCCCTGGGACACTGCACCACTGTCCTTCTGTGTATCCTGACAATGTTATCTGTCCTCTCAGTACGGAGTATCAAATGTCTGTCACGAGTACAGAAATTAATTTAATGTCACCTGAAGACATGCAATTAATCTTTTAGAGGTTTTCATAATACCTTTACAGAAAGAGTTGCCAGTTTGGCGGATTTGGATTTTGGGGTTTAGCAGAAGATAAGGAAAATTAATTTTTCATCAGGGTTAATACAAGCTAGCAGGGCCACAAAGGCTGAGAAAAATGGTTTGGGAATTTGTCAAGTGTTGTCACTGTAGAATAATGCTGCTTAACGTCTGATAGGTGTAATCAAGAGTTGAGATTTCTATAGAGGAGGATTAATCAATTTGCTCACTACAGAATGCAAGTTGGTGATACCATTCCTTCATGGGGTTTAAGAATGAAAATAAGATTTGATCTGTCAAATTGCAAGCAGCTCTGACAGTATCAATAGGCATTTTTATCAGTACATTTTAAAGCATTCGTTATAAATAAATTTGTCCTGCTAATGTTGGTGGCAAATAAACTTCATCTTCATCATAAAACTGTCATAATGATTGTGATAGAGTGGAGGGCTTCAGCTTGCTAAATTTAAGCAGTCCCTCATAAAATTCTGCTTATAGAATTTGTAATCTCATATTTGACAGAATTCTACGTTTCTCAAAACACAACATTGACTATAGATAGATATGTATAGTGAGAGATTGTTGAAAAACAACCTCAGGGAATCAATTCTAAAATTCTTGGCCGTTGAATGGCATCGTTTTTTCTTTCTTTAGTCCAATTTCAGAAGGTCTGACTGTGCAAACTTTTACACAGTAGAAGTTTGAAAAACATTCACATGTAGATCAACTCCATCTGCCTCCATCTTTTGAGGTTTTTCTATTTACACACAGTATTTGAAATTAACTTGTTTTGGCACTGCTAACAGTCTTGCTGTATACATGAACAGAACTCCTAAAACTTAAAAAAAGGGCATTTTCATTCCTCCAGAATTAACTAAATAATGGTAAAGTTTCATTCAGGAAAACTCTTTCCTGGCTATATAGTAGATGATCCCTGTGGGTCCCTTCCAACTTGGTATATTCTATGAAGGCAGACCTTTTGTAAAACTTGGAAATTTAGATCTTGAAGGTCAGAATGATTTATAATATAGAAAGTAAGGAGTAGACAATAAAAAAAAAATTCTTCCTTTATTGGTTTGTAGACAAAGAATGGAAATTCACTTTTATGCAGAAGACTTCAGAGGAAATTTGAGCTATAAAATCACAGCTTGTATCCATCAGTCTCAGGTATCTGTGATGGACTATGGTATTCTACCTGGTTTCAGCACTTTGTGCATCAGATTTTATGAGACAGGCCATGATGATGAATAGATGCATCTCTGAAAAATTTAGTGCTGCCCTGTACATTACAAAATACTAAAGGAAAGAAATCAGATAAAAATATATTTTGACATGAAGAGGCTTAAAATTTTAATACCTCCTTCTGTTGCTGTATATTTAAATGTGGGGAGGGCAGTGCTATAAGCTGATGAAAAATTAACAATACAGAAATTGTCTTTAGGAAAAGCAAAAGTTGATTTCAGATGAGCTAGACCTGAGACATTTTAAGTAGAAGAGTTGCTAGCAATTTAACTTCTGTGATTTAGGTGTGGTTTGGGGCAGGTGCTGCAATACAGCTGCAGTGGACTTACCTGCTTGCCTGTAGCTTTGCTATGTTGGTGCCAGCTCACTGTTTAGCTCATGAGTGAACATCAGGAGTCAGCATATGTAGAGTCATCGTTACAATTGTATGTCCTTTCCTCCAAAATGTTAATGTTGCGTGAGCATGTGACCTGTCAGTAATGCTCTGAGGTTTTGTAGCTTTAAGTCCAGATGTTAAAAGCTCTTTGCAGGTGTTTTGCTTGACTTGGTTTGTCATTGATGTGTCTGAAGAAGCCACTGGTTGTCTTGTGTCAAAGATTAAGGGATGATGGTGGTGGTGAGTCTGATTTGCCACTACATGGTATTGCAGAGGTTGCTCATTTTGGCTCAGTGCTTGTCCTTGTCACATCTTTAACCAGTGAAAAAAGAATTGCTGCTAAAATACATCTTCCGAGGCTGTGTCATTTTGCTAATTAGGCACATGTCACCTGGCAGTCACATTTGATTTTTATTTTCTTAAGAAAACCACCAGGTTTTGCCTTCTGTTGAGGCCAGGCTGCCTGCAACAGAAAACAATGTCTTGCTGATTTGGAGGGAGCTCTTTTAATCCTTGAGCACCAAGTGGCTCTCTTGAGAAGCACTGCTGTAGTTTCATCTCTGTTTCCCATCTCCAAGTCATCTCGAAACCAGTAAATATTCAGAGCAGTAGTATAAAGAAAGGGGTTGATCCAGTTGCCTTTCCTTCCTTCTTGTTGCAGGAACAAACAGATCTTGTTCCATTCCCTTTCTTTATTGTTTTGTGTAAGTTTTTCTTATTTCTGAAATACATTAATTCATTAAAAAGCTCAGAGATCTTTCTACCTTTTCAGGCTTTTGCAGGAGCATCGTGTCAGCAGTGAAGCCCAGAGGTGGCATTTGGGACCCCAGCAGGGAACAAACTCCATCAGATTTTTCATCAGCGCGAACCAGTTATGTGCTGATACCTTTGACTCTGTTACACAGCTCTGTGTTTTAGTTTTATTTGGTGATAATTGAGCTTGGTAGTTAAATATTGGGTGGTTGTTGGCTGTCCTAGACTTTTATGTGAAATGATTGTTTGCTTTTGAAGTTTCAGTAATGAGCATGTTCAGTGTGTTTTGTACCTGAGGGCTTTGCTCTCAGATGCTCTTCCAATGTGCCGGGATCACTTTTTGGTTTGGAAAGAAATGGTTGCAAATATTTATGGTTTTCACAGCAGGCATTTAGCAGAGATTAGATTTTTAACTCCCAGCTATAGTGTTTAAATTCCTCCTAGAATTTTTTATTCCTTTTAGTTTCATCATCTTGCAGCTGCTGTAGAGTTGAATAAAAGAAATTATCTGATCAGGGCATAGAGCTTATGGTGATGCTGATATTGAAACTAATACTAAAATGAGGAGGATTTAATGCTGGTTTCCTGGTAAGGTTTTGTGTATATGTTTGGATTTTTCAAGAGGGCTCTTGCTTTTATGTTTTTGAATAGTAATTGAAGAGAAACTCAGAAGGGAAAGCTTTATAATTTCTCACTAGTCGCTGCTCTCCAAGGTTTGTATACAAAATGTTCTGTGAAGATGTGGAGCCAGAAAAACAGAGAAAAACACCCTGTATTTCATTAGAGGTGGGAAAGACGTGCAGATTTCTATGGCTTTCTCACTTTGGACACTATGGACAAAAGCCAGGACAAGGTTCAAGATTTTCCCTATGACAGACTATGCTTTTGAAGTGTAGATGGTGCAAGAGTCTGTGAGGCTCATTTGTCTGGGATTTATGTAGTTGAATTCTTGAGATGTAACCTTCATGTACTTTTTAATACAGAGGCCTTGATTTAGAGGTGTGAATTGTGAAGTAGTGAACTTGAAAACGTGAGACTGTGCTATGTACCACCTGTACCAGATTATTTCTTACGAAATGATAGTGAAGGGACTTAGTAACTAGTCCCTTTTAGTGTTTCTTTTGCTTTTACTTAGTGCTGAGAGGTAAAGATTGTATTGTCAATGAAGATAATCTTGTTATTAGGCTATAAATCTGTTCCTTCTGTATTTTGTCTCCTTATCCACAAGAAATGTGCCAGTATGAAATCCTCTGGTTTGTGACGTGTGTTACAGATGCAAAGTAGATTTGGCTTGTGATTAGTTAAGGAAGGGGGAAAAAACCCTCTGTAAGTAAAGATGCTTTCATAATATTTTACTTTTTTCACTAGATATGCCTTTTATTTGAGAGCTTTTGCAGGGTTACCAGGAGTTGGTTTGGGACTTAGGCAAAGCCTTCACCCTGCAGATAAAATGTTCACTAGTATTTGAGTTCTAAAGTTGGAGTCCAGTCAAGGTATAGATACTGCTGTTGAAACCATGCAATAGTATGATGCACCTTATAGATGCAAAAGTACCTGATGTTTTGTCAGGCTCTGCTGTCTCTTGCTCCATGAAGTGTTTTGCAGTGATTGATCTGATCTGGACAGCCAGACACAAATTCAAGAATCACCTGTTTGTAGACGAAACTGAACTGTTTGGGTAGAGGCAGTGGAAGGGAATAATTTCAGTGCTTTCAGCTTTTGCTGTTACTGTGCTTGATTGCACTGAGAGATGTAACAAAGAGCTACATTGGATGAGAGAAGCACTGAGATGGTGTTTCATTGTGCTTGTGATTATAAATATAATAAGAACTTTATGAGACAAATTAAAAAAAAACCCAAAACAACCCTTGAGGAACTGTTTCTAGTACAGTGTTTGAGGAAGGAGACTGCTTATAAAGCTGCTGGTATAGAAGTTGGCAGAATGAGTATGCACTTCAAAATAAATACCAGTTTTTAACTGAAGAGAGGTTGGAATTTTAAAGATGAGCAGAGTATTTGCCTGATTCTTCCAGCCTTGCTCCTTCTTCTGCAATGTGAATGTCTCTATTTAAAAAAAAAAAAAAAGTAATAAATAACACATGTAACCCTGGGAGGAAGAATGATTTAGAAAGAAAAATGAAAACATCTTGCCATTTTGAATATGAAAAGACATTATTGAACGTTGTAATTATAATAAAGTCCAAACAAAGTAAACTGTTCTTCAGATACCATGGATTTATTTTAGGCTGAAGTGCAATTTCTAGGCTGAACCCTTGCACGTGCCTGCCGTGGCCACCGGTTTGCTTTAGCAGGCAAAGCCCTGGATACTCTCTGAGTGAGCTGGATGTGGCAGGAGGCTGCTCAGGGTGAGGGTGTGCAGTGCCTGGACACTGAGCCGCTGTTGTGTTGTTGATTTCAGCAGGGGGGAGAGGATGCTGGCTTTTTTCACCCAGAGGGCCAGACCCAGCGGCCTCAACAACCCCCGGAGCCAAAACAGCAGCCAGTGCGGAAGGTCACTTTGACAAAGGGAATGCAGCAGCACCAACAGCAGCAGCAGGCACAGATCCATTCACCAGCTCCTCAAGGAGTCAAAAACATCCAGGGAATCCATCAACCTAAAAAGGTGATTTTTAGATGCGTATTGCTGTGGAAGTTTCACTGTGTAGCTGTGTTGCTCTATTAATAACTAGCATTCTGTTTGTCAATTGGTAGTGCAGGGCTGCATGACCCAGGAGATGCATAATTGCATATAAAGCTTTTAATCTGGAGAGATTTGTTTGTACCCAGCACAGACTGGCGATGCCTGCAGGTTTCTTCATCTGCTGACGTTCTGGCCAGCACAGCACTCCCTGGGGAAATACATGTGTCCCAAGATAGCTACAGTAGGAGGTGGTATGCAACGTACTTTCTGGCTTTAAAACCAAGAGGTTTTTTGAAGTCGTGTTTAAGCTTTTATTCTGGCTGTTTCTTGCATATGTAGGGAGCACACAGCGACTATTTCAGGATGCTCTTTGCTGAATCCCCGAAGTTGGTGTCACTCAAAATAGTTGGTGATCTCGTAACTTGATGTTTTGCACTGACTGTGCACTGGGAGGAGGCAGGGAAGGGTCAGGGCAGCAGCACCGTGTGCCTTCTCTGCATTTGCAAGCTGGCACATGCCTTGAACATAGCTGGTATTTTGGCCTTTAGTTCTTGGTTTTGGACTGTTGGCCATAATCTTCCTGCTTCATGTAAGGATAAAGTTTCCTTGCTGATGCAGAAGAATGTGAAAAGTTGTTACCCTTCATAGGCTTTCCAAGTGGGAAACTGTGTTGTGTTGACTCAATGTTAAATGTTAAAACTCTGTGTAATGTTTGTTACTCTTGTTTCATTGTTATTTTTCCTCTCTCCAACTGTTCAATATTTAATTTGCAAGAATTAAATCCGTACATTTCCTGCTCCAGAGTATGCTGTGGTGCCAGATCCTACAGGATTTGGGGGAGGGGAGCTTTGAAAAAAGTTGTTTTATTTAGCCATTTCTCCATTCTTAGAACAGACCAAGAGTTAGTAGCAGTACAGACTGGAGGTGCTTGAAGCAGTTTGCTGATCTTGTGAGTACATTAAATTTACCTGTGGGTTGAGAAGAGAAAAAGGAGAGGGATCAACTTGGTTTTGTTGTCCAGACTCAAAATATGGGAGCTGAACACATGCTGCTAGATGTGATCAGTGTTGAAAACTAGGTTATATGCTTTTGTCCGAGACCTTCCACTGCTTAGTTGATCAGTCTGAGCTAGATCTGAGGCTTTTATCCTGAATGCAATATATATAACTCAATATATTTGCTGCCCTTCTAAAAGAGGTTTGTATAAGCAGTGGATGAATATGTTAATAAGTGGCCTTTCAAATCGGCGAACAGCAACAAACTGTTTAAAATCAGTGTGTACTTTAATCAAGTCTTTAAGTAAATCGCCAACTTTTGTATCATCTGTCAAATGCAGTAAGCAGAATCACTAGGTAAGTAAATCAAAATACTGTTACTTTTGTTGTTGGCAGGTCATTATGCACGGCAGAGGCAGAGGAGTAGCAGGCCAGATGGGCCGAGGACGCTTGATGCCAAATAAACAGAACCTGCGAGTGGTGGAGTGCAAACCTCAGCCCTGTATTGTGTCAGTTGAAGGGCTTTCTTCATCAACTACTGATGTCCAACTGAAAAACCTGCTGATGTCAGTGGGACCCATTCAGGTAGGTCAACCTCGGTTTATCATTTTTGTGCCAAAAGGCTTTCATTCCGGAAAGCTCAATTAATTCCCTGACACTAAATACAATGCGTGTTTATTGGTAATTTATGTTTGAAGGCACCCCCACCCACACACGCTACACCTGGTAGCAAAGACAGGCACGTGATGATATTGCGGCACGGGAGGATTTTGCTAACCATCACATTCCTGCTGCAAAATTCTCCTTCATTTTGGAGTTCCTGTGCTATCTGACATTTTCTTAAGCAATACAAACCTGTCTGTTCTGTGAGGTTTTTAAAGCCAGATGACCATATCGAAGCAAATGTATTTTTGGTTGCTATTTGTGTTTATATTGTTGGCTTGCACCTACTCTCTGTTTTGACATTTACCTTTTCCTGTCATCGCAGTCCTGGGGTACAAGCACTTAATGACCACTACCCAGTGGACATTTTATACTGTGTAGCACCATATGCTTTTTCAGAGGAAAACACAGTCTTCTTTGGAGCATTTTATTGATCCTTCATTATTTTAGAAGTTTCTCTTTAGTAGGGGCCTGTGAGCAAGGTTATGACACACACACACTGGTGTATCTGCTGTGCAGCTTCTGTTCGTAAACTGCCTCCTGGAACTGATGTGTCAGTTAAATGACTTATGGAAAGCAGGAGGTTTTCAAAGTAGTGAAGGGCTTAGGAGGCCCTGTCTGATTTATTGTTACTACATTTGAAAATATCAGTCAATGAATAATGAAACACACAGATGAGAATTTTTTTTTCCCAGTTTTGAGTGCTCCTTTTGACAGGATCAACATTTTTCAGACAAATACAGTGCATGAATTGGAGCCTGTTCTGTGAGACTTCGCTATTAGAGGGATCATCTCTCTGTTTCAAAACACACTGCTCTCCTAAAGATGAACACTGTGCCTGACTTCTTCCCAATTTAGTAAACAGAATAATGCTGAATTATTTACATCGTCAATTCAGAGAGGTTTAATTTGTTTGGGAAAGCAAAACTACTCTCACAAAATACTTTGTGCCTTCGTGTTCTGTAGTACTCTAGGAAATTACTCAGACAGTTCCAAAGCACATTTATTCCATGTTTACTTGCTAAATCTTGCATGAGAATATTAGAAGGAGATAAATAGAATCCCTGCAAGGAAATACTCGCAGTAGAGAGAAGTTATTGAGAATGTCCTAAAAAATTTATTCAGGACTTGCTGTTTCATAGCAGACTCCAAACTCTGGTCTCTCAATTCAATGTTACAGACCACTTTAGAAAGGTGTGTTTATAGGAGAAAAAACTATAACTGATTTTCTAGTGGGATTTGATACATACCTGTGCCCTACAGAACTTGCATTCTTGCACCATCATCAACTGTAACTTTGGAAATTATGCTTTCTAAATTATCATCTATTTTCACCTTATCAGAGATCTGGAAGTAGTACTTGAAAGAGAAGCTTGAATTTAGCTAATGATGCAGAATGGTTTTATGCTAAATCTGCAGTTGAATTTCAAATGTGATGTGTAGAAGGCTAAAAATTTCCTGTCATGTTCGAGACTGAATGATGTTTCACGAGTGTGGATGGTGAGATATGCAGGGGAGAAGTGATCCTTTTGTAGGAAGAATATGAGACTGGTTCTACCATATGGCATATTTAGCTTTTGGGTTTTGTTTTTTTATGATGCCGTGAGAAGTGGCACCACAAAAGTGTTAATGCAGTGAATGAGGAAGAGGCAGCAGCAGCTTTTGGTGACTTGGAGGACAAGAACAGAAAACAGAATGATTGAAAACCTGCATTGTTGCTGTTCACAGCAACCATTTTTACACAGATGGTGCTAGATTTTCAAAGAGGTCAACATCCTGAAGTGCATGAGTGGATTTTCTTGTGGCTGTAAATTAATGTTCTAAGTAGCATTTGTGCTCAGTGCTGTACAAAATCCCCTGCAACTGGGAATGGTCGGGAGGCTCTGGCAGCGAAGGGATACTCTGCTTGGTTATTTCCTCATTCTTCCTTCAAAATGCGTTTCATGTAAGTGACTTTGCAACGGGGAGTGCAGGAGTGAGCTGCTGGAGAGAGCCCAGTGGTGAATGGAAGGGCAGGTCGTGGCCACGACCAGAGAAAAGAGATTGTGGGTAGTGCAGAGCTCTGATCTTCTGAGGTGAAGTGTTGCAGCTTGATGAACTGAAATAGGAGGGATTTGGGGAGATGGCTATTGTGCGAAAACAGCAAGGTGAAATTCTAGCTGCTTTTTCAGAAATTAGGCAAGGTGCCCAGGTTTTTAGCTGGTGTTCTGGTGGAGCTGAAGAAATAGTAAGAGGAGGGAATGGTGAGTCAGTTGTGTCTGACTCAGTCTTTAAGGTGTAGAATATCCTATGTTTAGCTGTTGACTATAAACAGCAAAATTTTACTTGATCAACTGAGCTTTTGAGAGAATTTTTCATTTTACTTGTCTTTGGGGGAAATGTGCTTATTTTATGCAGTTGTAAAGGAAATTTAAATCTGAATCAGAACTTAAGGAGTTGTTTTCATGCCTGCATAGTATCTTGAAATGACACATGTCAGCTGTCCAACACCCAAATCCCTGGTTAAAGATTCACAAACTGTAGGTCATACACTTCTAATGTTTAAACAAGCATCTTGCTTGAAAGCGACATCCAAACCCAGCTCAGAAATCCAAATATCCTGTGTATCAATTTCTGCTGCAGTCAAGACATAACCATGGGAATGCCTTCACTGAGGCATAGCTCCCAAAGAAGGGGAAGAAATACTTCCCAAGGATCTCTCTGCTCTTTGACAAGCAGAATAGATCATGAGCTCTTGTCCCACCTGGTAGAGGACCTCTGCTTAATCTTCACCTTCCGTGCTGGGGCATCTCTAGAGTAATTGATCCCACACCAGCTCCTGTTTCCAGCTATCCAGATATTTGTTACAGTGTGTTTGTCCTGCATGTGTTTTCTTGGTAAGTGAATCCTTGCTGGCATAAAAGAAAGTTTTAACTTTTTCCACAAATAAGTCTATAATTTATCAATGAAGTGAACGAGGAGGAAGAGATTACTTTGCTTTTCTGGGTACAAAAGTTTGTGGTTTTATTCTCAGCTTTTTCATGTCAGTATCATTCTCAATGTGCAAGTACCTTGTACAAACCTTGGGGAAGGGAAGTTAAAAACTTCCCTTGATTTACAATGTTCAGTGCTCCAAGCTTTGCCATCAGCTTGCATTGAGGTGGTGGTTCTGTCATGGTTTGGGTGTAGCATAAGAGAAGATGGAGGAGACTTAGACTTGAAGTTGGAAATTCACCTTTCTTCTCTTCCATACTCTAGAAATGGAGAAAATGATCTTTTCCCACATATAACCTTTGAAATACCCTCTACTGCCTAATCACTGAAGACTCTAATTCTTATCCCTGCTTCACTAAACCTGCTTTGATATTAATATAGGAGAAAAAAATACCACTAAGATTCTCAAGACACTGAATAAAAGAAAATCTTTAGGATTCCAGGAACCTCTCTTTCATCATAGCTCCATTTTACAGCTCCAACATGATGAAATTAGCAGAACAAGTGCCTCCTTTCAGCATACAGTTTGCTGTCAGACTCTTTTTTGAGAGGGTAAGCTTTCAGAAACAAATAATGTATCTGCAGTAAAACTCGAGTACTGAATCTAAAATAATTACATGTTATAAATAAAATTATGTATTCCAAAGTGGTGGAAAGTACAGGAGATTTCTGAGCACATCACCAAAATGGAGTCTCCTGAGGGCAGTACTGGAGCAGTGACATTCAGTACATATCCATCCAGAACCATTTGATAAAACAGATTACTAATAAGTTGCAAAGGTCATGAAAAACAGTGCTTGTATTTATTTTTTTTTTTGTGCTCTTGAATCTGGGTTTAACATTTATGCTGTCTAAAGAAGCTCGTGTTCAACTAGTTATTGCTACCTTCAGATGAATTGGCTTTTTTCAGGATGGTGTCAGGTAGACTGGACCATTTCCTAGGTCTCCAGGTAATTTGAGTACTGAGGGATGGTTCCGTGCAGGTGTTCCATCATCATCTTTAATCATGTTTTCATACATCAAATGGTTGCAAACATAAAACATCAATGCAAAATCTCAGTATTGCTTTGTGAAGACTTAAGGTAATAAATTCTGATGCTGAAAAAAAAAAAAAGAGGAAAAAACTGTATACAAAACGTATATCAGAGGTGATGAGAATGTTGTAATTGTTGCTGTACTTGTAGTAGTTTACAAACGTGGGTTTTCCTCTGGTTACTTAGCCATCTGTGATCTCAGAAAGGAAAAACAAGTGCAATGCCTGATGCGCTTTGCTCTGCTTTCTTAGGGTGACAGTGCTACCTAGTGCTCAGCTGGGGTAAAGGCAGCTCTCTGCCCTGACGCTGCATTCCGAATTGCTGGATTTGTTTTCAGCTTACAGAGGTATCGGTGGAAATGGCAAGCACACGTGGATGCACAGACCCAGAACACGAGGGCTCCTGCAGATCAGCAGGGGGGTTCTCCATGAGGCACAGCACACAAGGTGCACGGGCTGACGTCGTGACCAGTGTGGTCTTTCTGCCTGAGAAAACATTTTCAGCTGTTGCAGAAGCTGTGGGAGAAGATGTGGGCAGTCCTGCTCCAGCCTTGGGGCTGGGGGAACAGGAGAGCAGCTCCAACAAGAGCCTGTCCAGTTCAGCCTTGCTGTAGGGCAGTATGGGAGCTACAGATGTCTTTCTCCTCACCTCCTCTTGCATACAGAGATGGAAAGCTGAGCACTTTTAAGGACAGATAGCAGGAAGTCAAAAGTTGCTGAAAAGCAGGAAGGAGGGACAGAAGATGGAAGAGATCAGTTGCATCAGCTGAGGATGAAATGGATACATTCTGTCTCAGCCTCTGGTAGTGGCTGGGAAGTGATGCTGCCAGGAAAGATACTTCAGGTGTCAGGAGACTGCAAGGATAATAAAAATGTATCTGCATCTATAAATGAGAGGGAAGAATAAATAGAATCCGATCATTCTGTTTAGGAGGATCACACACTGGAGATGATGTTGGTTAGGAAAGTTAACACTTTTTTTGGATAGATGTTATTTAGCAGCTTCATATGGACTGCACTCCTAATGCCAAACTCACTTTGGTACTTATGGCTGTCCCGCTGTTTGTCTCAAGGCTCTGGGTTTTGCAGTGAAGCTTTATTAATGTGCTACCAAAATCATACCAGCTATTTCAATATTGTACAATGTGGATTTAATTACAGAGTGTGTAAAGGAGAAATTTCAGTGCAGTGTAGATCTGCAGGCTAAAGAAATCCCTGCAGAGGGTCCTTTTATGATATTCATACTTCAGTCACTGGTAATAGTTCAGTTGCAGAAAAAGCCAGAGCTGCTGATTATTTTTTAAGTTGTTGAATTAATTAGTATGTTTTAAAACAGTTTACAGGCAAACTCTCAATCACAGGTATGAGTGATTATGAAATACTGGTTTTTGCTGCATTTTCCATTCAACCCAAGATCTGCATCTTCCTATGGTGGTTTCTAAGGAAGCAGAAAAAGGAGACAGTCAAGATTGGCATGAGCTCTGTGCTGCCTAAATCCCTTCCATATAAGATACTCTTCTTCATCCCAAACTAGTTTTTTATTTTTAATACTGGGAATATGTCAGAATCTAATCTCTGTTCTCCAGAGTCAAATGGAAACCTGCCCAGAATATCTCTGATCTCAGGTTGCTATCAGGAAGTGCTTGCACAGTAGATCTGTACATCCAAATCTGTAAAGTAACCAGTCATTTGAAATCCCTTGGAAGTTATTGTATGTATTGTCAATCCTTTACAGTTGAGTGGATCCAGGAAGGGGTTTTCATCCTCTGGTGAACATCTGAGTAGGTCAACTTAAAGAGAAGATGTGAATGAAGTTGTTTTCTCAGAACTGTGACATTTGGGAGGAGTGTGATATTTCAGTTTAGGAATTCATGATAGAAGGAGATTCTAGTGGAGCACAATGTGGCAACAAGGAAGTCTCCTGTGGAGGAAAAGTGAGTGTCTTCCCATTAAAGGAGAAGTCAAGTGATAATGGGTAGAACCTGCTGGTATCCAGAGGCTGCCTGGCTGGTTGTTCCCTGCCTCCCCTGACTGACCTTTCAAAATCTTTAGGTCACAGAATAATACCCAATTCAGATCATATACCCAAACAAACATAAAGTGATTCTGCATCATTTTTGCTACCATAGTTTGAGTACAGCGAAGGCTGAGAATTTGTATTAAAACAACTTAAATTAAAATTTTTCAGACAGTTTCCAAATGCAGAAATAGTGTTTGTGTACTCTTAGTTTATCCTTTGTTTTACAGTCTTTAACTCTGGTCTTAAGTATAGGCATTGTAACTACAGCAGTTGAGAAGATGCTGATGCTAGAAGTTACTGCCTTACCTTGGGCTGAGTAGTGGGTAATGTTTGGGCAGTTCAGTGAAGCATCAGATAGGTTATTTTTGGTTTCCATAGTTGTCTGTATTGACCAGTGACACTAAATCTGATAAAGGATGTTTTTCAGAGACTTATCCAAGAATGGATGCCTCGTTGCCAAAGCATTTAAATATTAAAATGCATTTAGTGTTTTGCCTTTCTTTTTTTTTTTTTTTGGAAAATAAGGCAGTAATGCAGTGTAAGACGGTAGTACCCAAACTAGTCAGTCAATAAACTTATTAATTCATAAGAAAGTATAAATAAGTTATCTATAATAATATTTAGATACTTTGCCTAATTTTGTTAATGAGTCTATACTGTACCAGAATGTCTTCCTCTAGTCAAATTTTTATATGCTAATTAATGAGAAGCTTTTCAATAATTTATTATCATGATTGTATAAAGTGCAAAATCAAATTTTGCTTTTGTGCATCTCAAGAATATTAATGCAATAATAGTTCAGTTCTTGTGGGAAAAGTCACCAAACACAGCTTCATTTTCTTCAGTTGATCACAACAGGGCTCTGGAGCATAAAAGCTTTGGGAAAATCTGCTGTGGTGGTTGAGGGAGACCTGATGCTGTGGTGAGGATTAGTTGGCAGCAGGAGGGCTGGAGGTGGTTCTGGAGAGGGGAGAGAAGCAGGTGACAGCAGAACATGCAGGGTGCAGCTGGAAAGATAAGTCCATGGGTTCTTTTGCAGCTCTTCTTGTCCAGCTGTTCACTGAAACATTCATCCTTTCAGTGATTCAAACAGGTTTTTCTCATATTAAAGGTGTCAACTTCTTTTTAACTGCAATTCAGAGATACTTTTTTTTTGTCAACTCTTACAGGTCTGTTGTTTCCAAATCTGATTTAAAGGCCTTTCTAGCCAGAAAAGTGGTGTTGGGAAGATGTGTGTTAGATACAGTTCTTTAAAACATAAAAAAGTGAGATCAGTAAAGGAGGAGAACACAAACTTCAGCACCTCTGTCACCCACTCCAGCAGATAATCTCCAAGAGAAATGAGCTTTATCCAGGGTCTTTCACTGGTGCTTCCTGCAGCCTGACTGTATTCTTGCTGGTAAAATGTGCTTAACTGTGTGAAGAGCTTTCTGATTAAAAAAAAAAGTTATCTGCCAAGTAGTATTTTTTAAAGCTAAATCCCATTTCTACCATCTCAGAAACTGAGAAGTTGCAGTGACTTAGCTAAACCTTTTCATCATAGCAGCTTTCCAAAAACTATACTATGCAAATTAACCTGCTGATGCTTTTTAGATTTGCTGAATCCTTTAACTTTTACTCAGCTTTCACTTTGAAATCACAGGAGTGATGGAAATATTAAACATCTGTGATTTTCCTGCAGAGAGGGAAGTTCCCTGTCAATTACAAGAAGGTGCAAGGTAGCTACGCCAAAATTAATTACTTCAGAATCACAGATAGGTAAGTTATAGAAAGTGGCTAAGCTGAATTGTCAGGGTTAGATACAAAGAAATATGACTTATCAGGTACCATGGCTCTTGTTAATTAAGTATCTTACCAAGAGAGTCTTACCTGTCCAAAAAAGATAGAAATAGGCAATTTTAATAGCAAATTTCAATCTAGGCATTTGACATCTTGCTTAAAATGCTGCATTAGATTGAATGAACAGGGAACACATTAGTTGGAGTAAAAATTCTTTCACTGAGAGGTCTTAAAGTATGTCACCCTTAAAATGTGTCGACAAGTGGGGTTGTATGTTGTTTCCCAATCAATAATTGTTTGTCTGAAGATCTGTGGTACTTTTTTAGCAATCTAGATGATGATGATACAGAATTTTTGCAGGTAAAGTTCAAAATCCTGGAGACTGACCATCAGTGCTGGAATCATCCAAATTGGGGGATGCTGCTGAGTTCCAGGCAAGATGCAGGAGCAGAGAATTAGGTTCATACCTAACCATCAAGAGGTTATGATATAGAAAAGTTTCAAGGTGCCTGTATACATGCATTTATGTGTGTGTCCATATATAAATTTATATAAAACTCAGCATAAAACTGTATTGACTTTATGTAGAAGCTCACGCACAGAAAAGTCAAATGTTAGTAGTTCTTTATTCTGCATCCAAAGCCGTAAGAACAACTGAAAGCTGAATCAGAACAATTGTCTTTAATGGGCCACAGCATAGGCCATTAAACATCCAAAATGTTCTGTGACATACTGGAATCACTGTGGCATGGAACTTTGAAATTACTATTGAAGCCTTCAGATGTGTTTTAACCAAGTTACTGTGAAATCTCTTTGGCCTGTGTTCACAGGCAGTGGGATTTGAGGATCACAGTTTTTCCATCCTGAGTATTCTGTGATGCTGAATATTTGCTGGATGTTCTCATTGGTTGTTGGGTGTGTACCTACTTAATGTGTTAAGCTTCATCTTCTCGAATTTCCGAAGTGTCTTTTTGAAAATTACTCTAACTAAAGTGCTAACTCAAAGCATCAACTTTAATCTTAGTAAGTGTGATAACTTCTTATTACCAAGGCTACACGACTGCTCTCTGGAATCATCTTGGCCCAGAGTTCCTGCTGCAGCAGGGAGCAGGGACATGAGTTCTCCCCAGCCCTCGCTGAGGTGTGCTGTAGTTTTGGAGACGTCAGTACTACATATGGGGTTTTGTCATAGAGCATTGTGAAATGCTACTCTCATAGCATGAGAAGCACATATCAGATGGACTTGCCTGGGTAGATGTGTGTTCCATGATTTCCCTCTACTAGGAGGACTTGGAAGTGGTGACCTAATCCATTTGATTGGGGTTTTGTGGTGGTGTCTGTCAAAAGCTGTCCACTTATTTTGTTAAAACAGTGTGAGGATAATGCAGTCGAGAGATCAAAACCTACCACTTTTTCCTGTTTCTGCCCTGTTTAACGCATGGAAAGCCCTGATCCTTTAGCATACATCAGGTAAATGACTCCAGGTGCTTGTGTGGGAAGTTGAGCTCTGACCAGTTAGCATTTCTGACTTGGTGGGAGTTTGGCTCTGGGGTTTGGTTCATCTGTATAGATTGAATGAAGAGCTGTCACCTTTGCATAATGAGTGATAGATTGGGTTTTGCAGTTGGTACAGTTCCTTAATGCGCCAACTCAAAGACTTTCAGCTGGGGTTCTGACTGCAGTCTCAGAAGTCTCTTTCCATTCCGTGGGCACCAGTAAAAGAATTGAAATATGTTTCTGAAAAAAAGAAATATGGCAAAATTTCAGTTGGTTTGGTGCAAAATAAGTGGTTATCTTATTATCTTTTTGGGGTTTTGTCTCTGCAGAGTTTACAGATGCTTCCTCAACAACGGAAAGCCATAGCAAAATTTAAGGAGCCAGCACATGCTTTAGCATTTCAACAGAAATTCCACAGGTAAATAATTAAGCACTGCTGCCGCCTCAGTTCCTTCCCTCCCTTCAAAAGATAAAATCAGTCTCCTCTGCTCAATGTTTCATCTCAATATTGCATCTATTTATTAGTGACCTTCAGAGAAACCTCCTTGCCTGTTCTCCACTCCCAGAATCAGTTTGAGTACTGTGTTTTTAACTTTCTTTAACCTTTTAACAGGCACATGATAGATCTGTCCCACATAAATGTGGCACTGATTGTTGAGTGATGTCTGCTGAGAGAAGCCCCGGCACTCACTGAGCCGTTCTGTGGAGCTACATGAGACACAGTGGCAAAACCATCGGGTTGTGAAACCTTTCAACTTAGTCTTTGGTTGCTCTGCTGAACTACAGAAAGCACGGAGATGTCCTCCAGAAGAGATGGGTTTGAGAGGATCTGCAAAGGTGGAATTTCTGTTCGGTTTCATCACATTCTGTTGTAACCACATGGAGTTAGAGATTAATTTTTTTTTCAAAATGCTTTCAATGCATGTAGACACTGTTCTTCAAGATCCTACTGTGTGACCACAGTGACTTGAGAGAGAACGTTTACAGCGAAAGATTAAAAAACTTTCTTCATAGCAAAGAATATTTGATAATGGTTGCTCTTATCTTCACTGCAAGGTATTTGAATGAAAACTCATTTTTCTAAACAAAACACATTAGTTGCATTGTATATCTGAGAGCACAGAAGGTATTCCTGCATAGATTTGAACGTGGTCTGTTTCATGAATAGCAGTTTGCCGAGAAGCTTTGGAGGTGACACTGGAAAACTGTAGTTTCGATCTCTGTAAATAAGTCTGTCTTTGCATTTTTCTATTCCAACATAGACTTCCATCTTCTCTTTCCAAATCCAGTTATTCCATAAAACCCTGTGTAGGAATTACACTGCTGTATTTTCCCTTGGTTTTTAAAAACAGGGATCTTCACCCTTCAGCATCGTGGGGCAGTGAACTCCAGGTTGTAATTAGGTTGTTTTGAATAACAAGGAAAAAGAAGTATTTGGTGGGTCACTCCAAAAATGTTACACAGGAGGAGTGGTGCATTCCTGATAGTTCTTTTGGGCTAGTGTGTCATGGTTGCCTTATGCTTTATTTTGATTAGTTTTTTTCTTTGAGATTTATTTTGTGATTGATGCTGAACCATAAGAAACCCGTAACTGAAAGGACTTGTTTTGATGTGTTGTTCCCGATACATATAGGACTATAAGGACATTGTAAATATCTGATGAACATGTCAGATCCCAAAAATTCTTTGCAAACATTAAGAAGCTTTTATTTTACTCAAAGTGAAATTCATAACATTTCCTTTTGGTTAGAACCATCTAGATGGTGTTGCCAAAGGAACAATTTTCTCAGTTACTTATGAATAAACTTATTAAAATGTCATCTTTATATTGGATTCCAGTTTTTATGAACATTTCCTTAGTTTTTAGACCATGAGCTTTTGCTTCATGCTTTATTTTAAGAATACTCTTAAGCACTCCACCTACTATTTGAAGGGGGGGCACTTACAGAAACCTTGTAGGCTTGTTACCTGAGTGACCACAGAAGAACACTATTGGTATGTAATGAAAGAGCTATGAATGGGGTCCAAAATAGGTGTGCCAAGTGGAAAAGTTTGAGCTAAGCAAATTTACCGTAGATTTTAATTTTTTTAGAATTTTTTTTTGAGTTAGTGGTAACGAAATCACAAATGCCTGATTGGCTTTCTTACACTTTTGGTCCAGATTTTCAATTAAGTATAAGTTACCAAAAATTGAATAAGTATTGTCGAAAGTCTTCTAGGTAAACCTGCTCTCTGTTCATTGTAATAACATGGTGCTGGGGAAAACAATTGAGAGAATACCCTAAGTCCGTTTACATTTAATAACGAGACACAGCAATACGATGGGAATTTTTTCATGGAAGTGAGGTCTACACCCACCTGCATCGTTCCCCATTTATGCATAATGCTTAATAACAGCCAACACAGCTACTATACATAAAGTGCTGTTAGTGCTTCAGGGTAGACACAAGCCCAGGACAGAGCATGAGCTGCAGGCAGGAAGTGCCCGGTGGGACCCGATCCTGAAGACCTGCAAGCCCCAAGCTGTTTAACTCCTCACACCATCAGCTCTAGGACCCTACACTGCCTCCCCAGGTTATGTAATTTTTATTCTTAAGAAGTAAATGCTTTTCTTTAAAACAAGTCATTAAACAGTTACACTGTTAGGGAACAGCTTCTCTGCAATGAGAAGAATGGGAAGACATCTCGAAGTGGAGTGATGGTAGTGCGTGCCTGAAAATCTGGGTTAGATGCCAATGTCAGACAGGCCAGCAGCTGAGTTCAGCAGTAGGAACATCTGCAGTTGATCAGCTGTCCTGTCAGAAGCAAATGTTATTGGGGTTAGAGGGTTTCTTGGAGCCTAAGAATATGGGTTTGATTCAAAAGTCAAAGAAGTTTGGAGAAACGCTCCTGCTTTGGGTTTTGAATCCATCCCAAAGAGGTTGAGGTTCAGCCAACTTAAGTTTTAAAAATTTTTATTCAGTGGGGTTTTATATTTTTTTTAATTCTTTTTTTGAGACAAATGTGTGGCTTTGGAATAAAGACATGAAATGGCCTCAGATCTATTTAAATGTAGGAGTGACGTAAGCAATGCCTGTTTAATGACTAGATGCATCCTCTTTAACAGCAGTTGCAGTAGATTACTGCTTGTGCATAGGCAGGGTATGGGTGGATTGCTGGGGTTTGATTTAGCTGCTTACTGCAGTACCTGGACATTTACTGTATGTAAACATACTATATGTATGTATGTCTATATTTGTTCTGTTATACACATACATACATACTCACACCCTCTGCTGTCACCGTGTCTCTCTAAAATCTTAAAAAAACTTAGTAGCAAAAGTAGCAATTAGGTGAGTCATTTGTTAAAATGTTTGTGTTCTCTTAGTTCTCAAATCCTAAGTTAAAACTGGATCTCTTGGCATTGATCAGTTTGGATGATACAACTCTTTTAGATCCATTTGTTGTCTCCTCCCAAAAAAACCCCAAAGGAAGTAGAGGTAAAGCTAGACAGAAGTGTTCTTGCCATGTTCTCTTCCAGCACATAGATAAATCTGAGCATCTTAAGTTAACTTTCTTGGAAGATCTGTTGCAACCATTATCTTGTTCTTTCTTTATCATGAACTCACAATATGATGCAAAATGGAAAGAAAAATAGGCATTTAATGTAGTATGTAAATATTGACCTTTTAAAATTAAAATGTTACTCAAAGTGCTTACAGTCAACCACATCTTAGCTATTTGTTAGTTTTTTTGTGTTGTCTTATCCAAGTTTAATGGATACAGTTCCATAAATGTTGATGTGTTTTTGTGTATATCTTCAAATTTTTATAAAGATGATAGTAAGTCAATACATATATCCTGATCTGTGTATTATTTGTTCAGTTTTTATTAGCATAATTTTATAATTATTTTAATAGGCAACTCCAATAGGTGGTTATATGAAGCCAGTTTGTTTTTTTCCCCAAATTATTTTGTTTCCATCTTGTAGCACTGGAAAATTCACTTTATAACTAACCATATTTTGCCTTGACTAAAAGATTGGATTACCCATATGATCTGTGGTATATTAGTAGAATGTTCTACTTCTGTTTTATTAAAAAAAAAACCTAAGACAACTCTGTCCTTTAACTTTTGAGGGGAAATACAGTGCACTGTCAGACCAAGGCCTGGGGTTTGTAGGTTTGTTCCATTGTGCTGTACAGGTACAAATTAGGTCTGTCGTGTAATGTTGTTCTCAAAAGTTTGGGATATTTTGGTTTTGCACGTAATTCTGGTTGGTCATGTGGCACGTTCATCTCAATATTGGCAACTGGTGAGGCACATGTGCTGTGTGATGGAAGGATGGCAGTGTTGGAAACGCTCGGGGTCGATGGTGCTGGGCAGGAAGAGGAGGAGGAGGAGGAGGAGGAGGGCAGGTCTGTAGCACCTTCATAGCCAGGGAAGCTGCCACGCAAATATTCATCTCTGAGCAGTGGCAGAGAATAAATTTAGGCAGGGATACTGCACATGTATCTCCAGGATGACTTTGGGATAGAAGGGTAAATATGAGCACCCACTCTGTATGATATCTTCAGATGCCTGGTTTATTCCCCTAGTTTAAATCTGGATTCACTTTGGATTTCCAAATTTCTGTAAGAAAGTCCTTCTAGCCATTAAATGCCAAGCAGGCTGAGCCTTTTAATTTTTCCGTGTTAGGTTTTCACTGGAAGGATATAGATGAGAATTAAAGGTTATTTCAGAATAACCTTGGGGGGTGGTATCTTCAAGTTTTTTCTTAGCATTAGCTATTTGGTATAAGAAAAAATCTTTTACTTGGTGCTGAATTTTTTTATCTTTTTTTAAAATATGGTACCCTTTGTCTGTTTATCTTGAAATTATGCAGTTTTCCTGGAAGCTGCTGTAGGCACTTCCTGTCACTACACACAGTAACTGCATGTCTGTATGTGTGTGTGGGTGTGTTGCCCTTGTAGCTGGGGCAAGAGGGTGGGTGGGACACTGAGGGGTTTCTTTTTTTGAGGTTTTTTTTGTTTTGTTTTGGTTTGGGTTTTTTTTGTCTTGTCTACTTGAGAGATACCCTAGATTTGTTCTCTGGCATAGTATTGTGTTGTGCTTGTCCTTCCTGTAGTACTGTGTCTGTGATACTCGAGTCATGATACTCGAAAATAGAAATCTGGCTCCACCTGTTTGCTGTCAAAACCACATTTTTGTTCAGAGACACACAAAACCTTTCTTTTTAAATGCATTTTTTTGTGCTTTTATTTTTATTTTTTTTTTTAGCAGCATGTTCGATGAGAAATTAAATGTAAAGGAAACAAATCCTGAACGGATTGCAGAAAGTTAGCTATGTTATAAAGGTCATTTAGGGTAACATAGGGCTTTTGTTTCAATGTTACCTTAAATCATGCCTTATCCTCTAATTAATTCATAAACATAATACTTGAAAGTATTTTACCTTCAATTAGTATCAAATCCTAAGGATTTTCTGTAAGGTTTTTTTGTAACCTGGTTTTTAATCGTGGAGATGACTTATTAACCACATGAGCACAGGGTCTTGTGTACAAAAACAGATTCATATTGGATCCCTGCGTATGCCAACTTCTGGTATAATATGGTTGGGAAGGATCATTTTGGTCTTTATAATGCTGCTTTTGGCAGGGTTGGGGTTTTTAATTTAAAAAAAAAAAGAAAACAAAACTCTCCATTTTCTACTTCTCTGCATATGTTGGTGGAAAGTGTGGTCCTTTTTGCACTAAAGAAAACCTCAAGGGGAAAGTTAATCGCATGGGGTCTTTTAGGGGCCTGTGTTGCTCTCTCCTTTCTTGGTTGGATGCACTGATTTTTCTAACTAACTGGAAATGGGCTTTATACAAACACTTTTTCAACAGGTTACATGGCTTTTAGTAATGTAACAGCACTTGGGTTAAGTGATTTTTACCATCTAAATTTTAAACAATATTACAGATTACAAATATTTTTGTAAAAGAATCTATGTACAGTTACATGTAGCTGTATTGCAATGTGTGTAGTCACTTGGAAGATCAGTTTCAAACACTGCTGTATTAATGTTATGTTTGTTCAGGATTTTCTTTGTGTGCATCTAATGGTTTTTAATAAGCACTGTATTTTTTTCCTAGTGTCCCTCGGGCTGAGTTTGGAAACCCTTAGAGTTTTACTTCTTTTTCTAGAATAACAAAACCATTTGTTTGCAGGTTTTCTTTTTCAGATGATGAAGCGTCTTTCAGCAGTTTAACTTCTAATGAACAGAGATTTTCACTTACAGCAAAGACAAGATGCTAACACTCATTTATTCACAGCTGATCTTCTGTACCTTTGCATACAATTTTATTGATAAAAGTTCCCTTGGAATAAGTCAACTTTCTTTTTTCCTGTGGTACCCTTTGCCTCTACCCTATACTTTACTTCATTTCCATCTCATTTGCCCCCATTTTTCCATTCCTTCAAGGATATTTGTATCCTTGTTCTGTTCCTGCTCTTTTCACTCTGTTCATCTCTCTGGATGTTTTCCTGCCCAAGTGCGTTGCATTCGATCTTTCGCTCTCTTTTCTATTCTTTCAGTGCTTTTAGTGTTCCTGAAGCCTAGATCTCCTACCCTGAAAGCCCATCATTCTGTACTTTCCTTTCCAGACTTTGGTGTAGGTTGAGGTTGCTTTTGTACAGGTATCACATCTTAGGAGATGCTGCCCATCCCAAAGCCTTGGAGAAGCATCACTTAACAGTTTTGCTTTGCAGTTTTACCCGTGTTGGAGAATTTAAACATGTTGTTTACATGCTTTAGCATTTGTGACAAGCCAGGGCAACAGGATTAACAACTCTTTCATCCTTTTCACTTTTCCAGGAGTTCTGTTCTTGAATTCAGTGATAGTAATAGCACTTTTTCTTATTGCCACGTAGAAATACGAACACTGTCGACACGATTCTACCTCCTATTACTATTACTGAATGTGATCCTTCCTAACCTGTAAAGTCTTAAGCAGTGTGTATATATTTGGGTGTTTTGAGAATCATTTCAAATGTACTGCTCTAATCTGGATTGCAGAGCTTGTTTATTGGCAGTTCAGGATATAAGTTCAGCAGCCCGACTCTATCATACTGACTCCACTGGGAGTGCGTCTGCCTCATGTTTTCTACGGCATCATCTGCACAAGGTGTTGACTGCTAATTTCTTGAGTGTAATACTGAACTTTACCAAATCCTCCACTTGCATAAGAGATCTTTCTGTCGTACCTATTTCAATGACTGTAAAAATGGAAACACAAAGATGATCTCGTGTACAAGCTTTTTTTTTTTACGTGTAATTCCATGTTTAAAATGTGAACATGTAAATATGTTTATTGTACCTAAAATATGTCAATAAAACTTGATTTTTATAAGTTCATACGTTGTCGCTCGGTGTACAGCTTGAACTTAAAACTTCTAGAAAATGGCTTTATATACCAGATTATTTTACCATTTTTATTATGGTAGCATCTCTCAGCCTCTACTTTTACATCACCATCATAGCATGGGGTTCTTCCACAGCTGTGCAAAGGATGGAAATGAAAGTGGTTGAGGATAAGTGATGGTAAAAGGGACTTGTGCTTGTGTGCCTAGTTCAAAGGGTCTGGAGCCTAAGAAGAATCTTGTAACATACATATAGGAGAAAAGCTGGTCAGTGTAAAAGGTTTTCTTGTGCTTTTTAACCATACTGACATGTGTAATAAAAGATCTCTACTTTCAAATATTGCCTATCTTAATTTATAACCTAAAGAGAGGCCCTTGGCAAGCTCAATTTGGTCACCATCAATTATTTTCTGAACACATTATATCAATATAAATGGAGGCTAATTCCACTGGTCTATTGTGTCTCAAGAAAAGAGATCAGAATCAACTGTCTTGCACTTGGTAGGGGTTTTAAGTAGTTTTCTAAAAGTATTCACAAAGTTAAATGTAAAAAATCCCACTGTCGTCCTGGTGTCACTGGAAGTGGCACCTGTGATCCAGCATACATGTTTCCAGGGAAGCATTACTAACATGGCACATCATTACTGGGGATAGATGTCAAGAGAACATCATTACCTGGGCACAGAGTATTGATACCCCAAGTTGTTTTTTCTCCTTTTGCCCTGATAGAGGACATGTAGTTACAAGCAATGCAGTAAACTTAGAAGGCTCATCAAGGTGAAAACAATACCTCTGATGCAGTGATTTAAATAGTGAGCCATGTAGGGCTAACCATCTTTGTTTACAAAGTTCCAACTTAGTTTTCAACTTGTGATTTTGTTTTGAATTAACAGTAAATATCCGTCTGACTGCAGCATGGCCTCTTTCACATCTCCTCTGGATAAGGCTCCAACCAAAGCAAACTTCAATAAAACCCCTCAGACCCCAAACGTGATGAGTTCTATCTCCTTGTTTCTTTGTACTTTCTTTCCCTGCCTCTGTTGATCTGTGGTCTTGGGGCAGGAGTTTGTGTTTTAGTGAAGCTGATGCACTACAGAGCATCGACCCAGCAGTCCACTCTTGCCATAAACTGAATGGGTTGACCATTGCACAGCACGGGCCAAAAACAAGCTCCCTTTTTGAGAGTGCAGGCAAGGGTTGGGCATACAAGTCTGTGGTCTTTAGAAGTTAAAATGTCCTGCTGATGAACTTGTCATTTTGGAAGGTTTCAGGATTCCTGCAGGGATGCGCTTTGAGAACTGGAAGGCGGACAACTGCAAAGAGATGGAGGAAATCAATGGGGCTAAAAACTAGTTATTGAAGGGATGGAAAGGGAGTGACCAAAGGAGGTACAAATAAACCTTTAAAATCAAATATTGAGATGCCTAGTGGAGTGCTTCAAAAATTGGTCTTCATTGGCCTTAATTAATTTGTAATGATTTGGGCAGGAAGAGTTGGCTGTGCTCACCAAAGCGTGATGGGAGACAGATGAGGGAGGGCTCAGAAAAGAAGTAGGGTTGGAGTATCTCAGAGGAATTGGATGAACTAGAGAATTAGAATAACAGAGATAAGATTAAATTTAATCTTGCAAAGTGCAAGAGCATGCACTCTGGTATTAATAAATTAGGATTTTTGTTGTAAGAGACACTGGGAAAAGAGGGAGAGCAGTGAATTAGTTTCAGATACCTGATCTGCAGATGTGGTGATCTAAGAGAAAAAGGACAACTGCCTTTTCTGGCTGGATGCATGAGGCCCTTCCAGAATTGAGTTATTAGTATGTGTATGTGTAGTATGAAGATTTAGTGCTGGACTTCAAATTAGCAACCCAATCAACCACCTCCCTACAGCCCTAAGAGGAAACACCCTGTGAATATTTATTTTGCGAAGGTTTTTTGAATGGTTCAGCTATCGAAGATTTTCTCTGCTTTTGCTCTACACATTCAGCCTTTCAAAGACCAGGGCTTAAGCTACAGAAAACATCCTTAGTTGGGTCAATGAGAATTGACTGGTCACACGGTGCCACTGCTCCTTGGTTTCAGATGTCAATTCTGGTAACTGCTGAATATACATTAAATATTTTCACCCATCCATGCTGCTCTGGAAAGATCCCAGGGGAAGGTGTGCCTTCAACTAGTGAAAAATTAAAGATGCTGACCGGTAAAATCGTTCCATGGAGATGTGGTCAGCACTGGGGATGCTTTGGAGAGGACTTGGGAGTTAAGCATTTCTATTTCTTCTGGCTCTAGTCCAGTATTCCACTGATTGTTACCTAATTAACAACCTTTTCATTAAATTACTGCTGAGAGGATTCTACTTCCATAAGAAGGATTTTAAGACAGCACGAGGATGGACTGAATAGCCCCACAGCCTTTTCCAATCCTGTTTTCCTGGGTCTTAAACAAATTAGGCTGTGTCTTCTGAAACTGTGGTATTCCTGTACAGCATCACACAGTCTTTACTGGCAAAAGCCAGTAAAAACAGAGGGAGGGGGTTTGGGTTTGGGAGGCTTTTTTCTTCATTTATCTGTGCAGTGAGTCAGGTGCCTTCCACAGTCTTAGTTAATGTGGATCCCACACTGCAGGACTTGAGAAGTGGGGAAATAGCTAAAAGCTTCAAAGAAAAAACGTGGAAGCCACCTGTTTCATTTGTTTTGATAAGGCTCAAAAGGTGTTCAGGGGGTGCTCATATAGCCCTCATTGCAGAGGAGAGCAGGGGTCTTCAAGCTGATTTTTCCAATACCCATCACAGGAATTTGGGTAACTTTCTCAAATATGCAGTGTCTGTTTAGTGCTGCACAGAACTAAATGGTCCTGAGTCAGGTACTCATGAGCATAGGCTGCTCTGGGTAATATTTATGTTAGTAGTGGTGGCTGGCTTTGAGTATTTTGCATGCAAGCAAAATCCAGCTCACTAGCAGGGTCTGATTGTTAAAAGATTATAATATCTCCCTGAAATTTAACACTTTAAGAGAACTTGATAATAAATCAAATTACAAATAACACTCTGAACCCTCATCTGAATCCTTCCTGCTTTGTGCTTAGGTAGGTCTTCAGTAAAACAGAAGTGCTGCTGTGAATTTGCTCCAGGATGGATTTAAGATTTCTCTGCAGATCAGTGGCCCTGATACCAATCTGTTCCTTGTCACTTCCTATCATTTGCTTTTTAAAAATTATTATTGTTATCATTATTAGCCTTATTATTGAAACTGGGGCTTCTGCAAACAGTAGCTGGATGCAAGATCTGAGTCACAGGGAAATAACTGGGTACGGTTTGAGAACCCCAGCGTTGTAAGTATGTCCTTTTCTATTTCTAGCCTGGGTTTTTGTGTGGCAAAACCAGTCCTGGAAGCCAAACCTCAATTAACTGAATGAAGAGATAGTTTCTTTATATATTCTCTGTCTTAAATACGGCCACAAACAGGCCTCTCTGCAAGGTGACACCCACAGCTCCTACTGCTATGAACCTTTCCAATTGTTTAGAGGTGCTGCCTTATTGGAAAGGGCTTGTGTTCGTTCACTACAGTGAGGAAAATTCACGGATCACATCATAACAGGGAAGATGTGGTTGTTCCCAGGTCGTCCCTGTGCTACTGTTAATCAGCCATATCCAGAGGGAGGATGCATGTTGCCTTTAATGGGGGCGAGGAGCAGGAGGAATGTAATCATCCCTCATCAGCGAGACCCTCAATCACTGCACTTCAAACAGCTGGGGGTACGTAACCTCATCTTCATTTGAAAATTTTAGTACCTTTTCTCTTAGCTACCTCCATTTTAAGCCTTTTTTTTTCCCCTCATAAATTTTTATGATTTTTTTTTTAAGGGAGAATTTATTGGCGAAATGGCAGAGACCGTGTGAAATGTGGAAGAGCTAAAAGGCTATCACTGTGGTAAATGAGGCTAATGGTTCTTTACCACCAGCTGTTTAGAGTTCAGTGATTGAGTCTAACTGACAAGAAATAATTACCCCCTCTCAGAGAGGTGAAATGGGCCCTCACACTGTGAATGCTGCTGATGAAGGGGCTGTCCCGGGAGAAGGCGGGATCCTTTCCAACAGTTTCTGTGCATACATCTTGGATCCTTAAACCTCTCCCAGCATCTTGCACTAAGGTTTTCTTAGTGCAATGTTTTCTTAGGGTGGTGTCCTTCAGTGACTCAGCAAATCCCTCCTGCCCTTCTGGTCCCAGGGAGGTTCAAAACCTTGAGACAACATCTTGCAGGGATGAGCCCAGAGCCAAAATAGTCCCATTATTGATTAAAACTGGTGACTGTCTCCTAGCCCATTTTATTTCAAAGCAAGAGCCCTCGTGCTTCTTATTGCAAAGATGTGCATTAGGATCTAAAAGCACCTGTTTTGTTCTTCTTTTCTAATCAATTGCAGGGAACAAATATGATGAGTGCATTTGTTCACAGGCCAGAGAGGGGGAATACCTTGACTTAGACGGGGGAAGGAAAGGACTTGCAGTGCTCCAGTTAGAAACCTGCATCCTCTCAGATCATGCTGGAGCCAAATCCCATTTAAAACAAACACCCAAACAAACAAACAAAAACCCAAACAAACAAACAAAAAACCAAGTCAAACCCTAAATATTTGGAATATGCAAGAAACATGAGATGAAACACAGAAATAAGCATGACGGTAATGGCTTGAATGCCACTACATTTCTCTGGCTTTATTTGTTGTGTTACGGCATTGATGAGGATACAAATACTTTGGATACTTTGAAAATGATGTCTCTAATGACTAAATTAATTATTATTATGCAAGAGCCCATCTGAGGTCGTGCTGTGTACTGCCCAAGTGAAACCAGGTACCATCTCAGGTCAGCTCAGGAGGGTGGGAGGAGCCTCTGGCCACAGCTTAACCACACTGTGGCTGTCATTACATCACTCATCTGGTTTCTTTAGAAGATGACCATGGTCATCTCCAGATGGCTGCCATGAGCCACCGTGGTGCACA